GTGGGGTACACATTTAAACTGATTGGTTTTGTGGCCTGGATGCTTACGTCTGAGCTATTTGGAGCCCTTAGCTAATAAACAACCAGGGAATCAATGGAAATATTTACTGGGCAGTTCAGGTATTGTTCTAACAGCTACAGAGATTACAGGTTCTGGGGGTAGCAGAGGAAACAATACCTGGCCTATTATTATTATTTTTAGCCCAAGCCTTTCAATTTAGAAACCTTACAATCCCCAGTCTTTTACACTTTAACTCAGACTCTTGCAGCTTAGAGTCAGCTTAGAAATTTTACCTTTACATTCTGATGTATACAAAGCCCCCCCACCCTCTCCAAAAAGTGTACTTAAGCTCTGCTTGACCTCTGCTCTGGGCTCTGGGCTGCTCTCCCTTCTTGAGTGAGCACGGAGCCCCAGCATGCTGGAATGGATCCCCAATAAACTCCCTTTTGCCAATTGCATGAAGTCAGTCTCTTGTGGGTGGTCTCTTTCTCCGACGCTCCGCCGGACCCTAACAGGCCAATGTTAGGACCTGTGTAGGTGGGGTAGCAGCAGGAAGTATGGTGCTCTCCTCCATGGTCACTCTGTTAGAGCCTGTTTGGGAATAGGAACTTCACCATAGCTGAACAAAATTTCACTTGATCCTGTCCCACTCCCCACCATCTGTGCACACTTGTAGGTTTAGTCAAAGTCACAATCACGGCATTCATTACTCAAGACCCCCTCAGCACATCCTTATGGTAGGGCTTCAACAGAAACTCCAATGTTCCTTCCCTGTCCTGTCAGCAAAGTTGGAAGGGGTAGCTAGAACCAGTAGTTTGCCTTTTTTTCAGTCTTAGTATTGGCATGAGTCCATATATTGGGGTGGGGGGGGTGGTGCTAGATCTCACAGGGCCAGCTTCCTGGCCTACTGGCTCCACTTGTCTTCCACAGCACCCAGCAGACTTACTGGATAAAATTGGATTCATAAAACAGCTACCTATCAAGCCAGTGCTGTGGAATATCTGTGGGCTACTATACATGGGACTATGCAGGGGTTTTAGAGCTCTACAATAGTCTACATTCTGACAATAGCTCCCTTCTTCAGAAGAACCCTGACTGTAGCATTCTGAGGGTTCACTGGGAGATGATGGGAGATCCTTTTCAAAAGAAGCCTTCCATGCAGATTGCAGTTTGCTAAAGTAAGTGGGCTGCAAGTCTGTGAGGGTTATGAAACTTTTCAGTACCTAGGACTGCCAACATCTGCATTGATATTTTTTGGGGGGACTTTATCTTTATTCCTTACCTCTGCAAAGGGAAGATTCTCCTCAGGTATAGAGCTGAGGTGGCAGATGTGGGGTATTTTGTTTCTTTTACTATGCTGTTGTCTCTTGGCTCTGATTAGTATAATGTCTCTCTCTTGCTGATCTTCAGTGCTCTCTCATGGTCACTTACCTCAAAATGAAGATATATACCTGTTACTTTGGTTCTTCTTTTGCAGGGGGGAAGTGAGTGCTGGGTGCTTCTTTCTAGTAATCTTGCCCTTCCTCTTTCTCCACATTTTAAAAGTCCTGATAAAACTTCAATATTATGGCATTCCTCTATTTGTACTTTCATAATTCTGATGTCTCTTATATTCCTGGAAGATATTTTTTGTGTTTCTGTTCCTGTTCCTTGTTCTGAGTTCCAAGAGGAAAATTTCAAGACCACCAAACAGCACATCATTTTAACATCAGAAAACATGAACAGAGAGCCTATAAAATGGGAGAAGATCTTTACCACCTGCACTTCAGATACAGCATTAATCTGTAGGATATACAAAGAACTCAAAAAATGTAACACCAAAAAAATCCAAATAACACAATCAATTAATAAGCGAATGAACAACATAGGCACTTCACAGAATAAATAAGAATGGTCAAAAATATATGAAAATATGCCCAACATCTCTAGCATTGGAGATATGCAAATTGTAATTACACTGAGATTCCATCTTACCCCAGTCTGAATGATAATTATCAAGAATACAAGTAACAATAAATGTTGGTTTGCATGTGGAGGAAAAGGTTCACTGATAGATTGCTGTTGGGACTACAAATTGGTGCAAACACTCTGGAAAGCAGTATGGTTATTCCTTAGAAAACTTGGAATGGAACCACATTTTGACCCAGTAATCCCATTCCTTGGCATATACCCAAAGGACTTCAAATCAGCATACTACAGTGACACAGACACATAAATGTTTATAGACGCTCAATTCACAATAGCCAAGCTATGCAATCAATCTGGGTACCCTATAATAGATGAATGAATAAAGAGAATGTGGTACATATACACAATGAAATATTACTCAGCTATAAAGGAGAATGAAAGTATGACATTTGCCAGTAAATGGATGGAATTGGTGAATATTATGCTAAGAGAAATAAGCCAATCTCAAGAAAACAAAGTTTGAATAATTTCTCTGATATGTGGATGCTAACCCATAACAAGGGAGGGAAGAGAGGGGAGATATACAAGTTCATTGGATTAGATAAAAGGGGATGAAGGGAAGGGAGGAAGGCTGGGAATAGGAAAGACAGCAGAATGAATTGAATGTATCTTTCCTTTGCTCATATATGAATACACGACCAGTGTAAATTCACACCATTTTCAGCCACAGAATGGGATCAAAATTGTAAAGGGTTGCACCCTATGTGTGTATAATTTGTCAAAATATACCCTACTGTCATGTATATCTAAAAACAACGAATTAAAAAAAAAAAACAGAAAACAACACTCCCTCATAAATTTAAATGGTAAATCAAGATCTACTTGAGGGGTTAAAGATGAAAGAGAAAGTTACTTTCCAAAATGTTTCATGGTGCAGGACCAGGAAAAAGAAAAAACAGCTGCTTTCTGAGATCAGTTAAAAAAAAAAAAAATCCTACTGGGATTTACTACTAGACACTCAGAGAACTTCCTCCTGACATAAGCTGCGTAAAATATCTGATGTGAATCCACATGGGCAGGTCAGAGACAGCAATTAAGAGAGCCCACATTTCAGGTGGCACCAAGGCGTGTCCTGAAGCAGAGAGGATGTTGATGGGAAACATTGTTGAGCTGATCAGTCGGTGAGCTGCACTTTATTTTATGTGAGAGGGACACTGTGCATCTCCCAGTAACCTGGGGTGAGTAGAGTTAGTCACTGTCTTTTTCTGTTTTGCTATGGTAGCCAGCAGGTGTGGGTTCAAACCCAGGTGCCCAGACCTGTGTAATTCCAGCTGGGTCCAAAAACCTGACCTGGTGGAGAGGTCCGCCATGTGCCCTAGAGTGTGATTTAAAAACCAGGTCAAATTCAGACATGGAAAATGTTGCACCCAGGGATTTCAAGACACTCAAACTGGAGAGATCCTGGTGTCTCTGTCTTTGAATTTCGTAATTGGCAGGACCAGCTGGGAACACTGAAGAACTGATCAGGTGCAGGTCGGGGCGGGGGATGGGTGTGGGTGTATGTAATGTGAGCTTTGGGACTGAGCCCAGGTGACAGAGATATGAGAGCACAGGGAGGCAGGGGCAGGTGGAGGGGCTGGCTTATCTGCCACTCAAGTGGAACCCAGGGGAGATGCCCAGGGCAGATCAAAATCAGCCAGGCTCTGGAAGTGTGCTAATTTAAAAGCTTCATCAAATAGCATTCCACAAAGACCAGGGTCCAGCTAGACCCAAACCCCACCTCTAGGAGCTCCGCCTCTGGGAACCCCTTTCCCAGAACTTTCAGAATCATCTCTGTGAGTGGAGTAGACAACACCCTCCCACTGGCCCCACTGCATACTGCTGAGAAGGAAAGGTGAGAACAAACAACAATAATGAGTTGGGGGGGGAGGAACTGACAGCCCCTAACTACTACTCTGTGGGTAATACACACCTCAAGAAAAAAAGACAGAAATTGAAGACGGCGTTAGAAGATGGAAAGATCTCCCATGCTCTTGGATAGGCAGGAACTTGGCCATACTACCAAAAGTGGTATACAGATTTAATCAAATTCTTATTAAAATTCCAACGAAGTGAGCAGTTGTGGAGGCTGAGGTAGGAGGATCCTGGGTTCAAAGCTAGCCTCAGTAACTTAGTGGGAACCTGTCTCTAAATAAAAGTAAAAAAAAGGGCTAGGGATATGGTTCGGTGTTTGAGAGTCCCTGGGTTCAATTTCCAGTACCAAAAAAAAAAAAAAAAAAAAAGAAATCCAATGACACTCTTCAAAGAAATAGAAAAAACAAGCAAACATAAAAAACAAAACAAACAAACAAACAAACAAAAAACCCCATGAAATTTATTTGGAAAAATAAGAGGCCCAGAATAGCTAAAGCAATCCTTAGTAAGGAAAGTAAAGCAGGAGGCATCACAATACCAGACTTTAAATAGTACTACAGAGCTATAGTAACAAAAACGGCAGGGTATTGACACAAAAAAAGATCTGAAGTCCAGTGAAATAGAATAGAAGACACAGAAACAAATCCCAGTTATCTCACACTGAACAAAGGGCAATAAATATACATTGGAGAAAAGAAAGACTCTTTAACAAGAGGTGCTGGAAACCCATATGTAGCAAAATGAAATTTAATCCCTGTCTCTCACCCTACATGAAATTCAACTCAAAATAGATGCAAGACCTACCCATTAGACCAGAAACCCTACATCAACTAGAATAAAATATAGGCCCAACACTCCATCATGTTGGCTTAGGAACTCACTTCCTCAAAAATACTCCTAAAGTATAAGAAGTAAAATGGAGAATCAATAAATGGGATGGTGTCAAACTAAAAAGTTTCTTCAATGCAAAGGAAACCATCAAGAGTGCAAAGAAAGAGCCTTCAGAATGAGAGAAAATCGTTGTTGCCTGCATCTTAGATAGAGCATTAATCTCCAGAATATATAAAGAACTCAAAAAACTTAATGCCAAAAAAATCAAATAACCAAATTAATAAATGGGCAAAGGAACTGAACACACACTTCACATATACAAATGATCAAAATACAATAACACAAATGATGAAAAAATATATGAAAAAATCTCCAAAATCTCTAGTAATTAGATAAATGCAAATTAAAACTACACTGAGATTCCATCTCACTCTAGTTAGAATGGCAACAATCAAGAAATACAAGTAACAATAAATGTTGGTGAAGGTGTAGGGAAAAGGGTATACTCATACATTGCTGGTTGGACTGCAAATTAGTGTGTTCACTCTGGAAAGCAGGATGGAGATGCCTCAGAAAACTTGGAATGGAACCACCATTTGACCCAGTTATTCCACTCCTCAGCTTATACCCCCAAACACTTAAAATCAGCTTACTACAGTGATGCAGGCACATCAATGTTTATAGCAGCTCAATTCACAATAGGTAAGCTAAGCTATTGAACCAGTCTGGGTATCCTACAACAGATGAATGGATAAAGAAAATGTTGTATATATACACAATGAAATACTTCTCAGCCATAAAAAAAGAACGACTTTATAACACTTGCAGGGAAATGGATGGATCTGGATCCTATTATGCTAAGCAAAATAAGCAATCCCAAAGGCTGAATTTTTCTCTCCTATATTGGATACTAACACATGGGAGTTGGGGGGCATGTGAGAAGAAAATTTCAATAGACTAGAAAAAGGGGGAATGAAGGGAAGGGAGGGGAAAAGGAATAGAAAAGACAGTGGAATGATTCTGACCTAACTTTGCTATATACATATATGAATATAATGCAGTGAATTTCCACATCATGTATAACCACAAGACTGGGATCCTAATTAGAATAAGGTGTACTCCATATTTGCATAATATATCAAATTATACTCTATTGTCATACACAACTAAAAAGAACAAAAATGAAAATAAAAGCAAATAAAAAAGGTCTGTACTTAATAAAATTTCCTAAGGAGAAATGATCTATAAACAAAGAAAATGCAGACTAATAAATAAACAGAACATGATATCTAAAAGGCTGGTTAATATGCATGGAAATATAAATAAAATCATTTATGTATAAGAATGAAATATTAAGAAAAATAGATAATGACAGAATAAAAAAACCCTGAAATAAATCTAATATTTGAAATTTAAAAATTAGGTATGAGAGTTTGAAGTTTAAGATAACATATGTAGAAACAAGAGAAAGGTCTTGTATTATCACTGTGGGAAGTCCAACATCTTACTTATAGTAGTTGCAAAAGCAACAGACAAACATAGGAAGGAAAAGAAATTACAAATTTCCACATAAGAATTTTCTGTAACTGAAGGATACATACTTCTAAATCGAAGTTGCCCATCAAATGGTCAGCACAGTGAATAATAAAGATTGACCCTGTGAAATTAACTCTTTATCAAGAGATATAACCAGAGAGTTTCACACCAATCAACAAAAAAATAAAATGGTATAAGATTGTAAAACATCAACTTTGGATAATAGGAAGCAATGGGTGTAACTTCAAATTTTGAGATTAAATGAATTCTAATGTAGGATTTTAAAATGAGTTAACCAACTGAAAATCAAGAAATTTTCAGTCATCACTGATGGTTTAAAAATGTGATACATACACAAATGGAGTGCTAGTTGCCATAAAAATAATGAAATTTGTCATTTGTGACAATGTGGATAGAAGTGGAGATTATAAGGTTAAGTGAAAAATAAATCAGGCACAGAAAGACAAATGTCATGTGATCTAACTCATGTGGAATATAAAAGACTTGTATAATAAAAGTTAAGAATAGAACAAGAAGCTCTGGTATTCAATTATACAGTAGGGTGACTACAGATAACAATAATGCACAGTATATTTCAGAACACTGCAAGTAATTATTTTGAATGTTTTCATGATCAAAAAAATGATTAACCTTTAAGGAGATACATATTTTCAATTTGATTTAAATATTATACCATGCATATAGGTATAGAAACATCATGTATTACCCCATAAATATGTACAGTTTTTTTTAGCTTTAGGTATTAAAAACAAATTAAACTTTAAAATAAAAAGGCTTGATAAAGATATTTTCAGACATTTAAGGACATAGCATTTTTTTAAATTTTCTGTTTACTGTTCTGTAGAAGTGTTTGGAGGAAAGGGATTCCAAAAAATTCTATTTCCAACCCCCAAATCAGCTCCTACGTGACAGCTTTTCAGGCTCAGAGTGACTATTGTAGATCACCACAGGATGCAATTGGGAATGCATGCTATTTATTACTCAGAGGAGCTCAGCTAGAATTTTCCAATTTAATACACATGACACAACAATAGCTATCCTGCTGTGGAGACCTTGACATCATCTTTTTAAAAAGAAACTTCACAGTTCAATAGCCTTGAGAATGTCAGGCTAGAGGTGGAGTGCAAGGAGCAAGCAAGAAAGCATCTGGCATCTAACAGGGTACGCACTAATAAAATGAGATTTAAAAGAACTGCTGTTATTTATAGGCAGGAATGAGTTTAAAAGTTTCGAGAAATGTACTGGTTTGGTATTTTTTTCTTCTAGTATTAGATAATAAGTCATTTGAAATCCAGAGACATCATAGTGTAAGGATTAAGAGAATAGATTCTGGAGCTATGTTGGCAAGTTCAAATCCAAACTTTAGTACAGCCTAGCTGAGTGAAGTTGGACAGGTAATGAACCTCAATATCTTCATTTGTAAAATGGGGACTCCATTCTGGGGTTGTTACACAGAATTAATTAAGTAAAGTAGGTGAATTAGTGGTCTGTATGTTGTAAAAGTTCAATAATTATTATTTCATTTTAATAGGATAAGAATTGTTTTATTAAAATAAAAAGCATAATCCATAGGATGTGATGCATTTTATGTATTTTTATTCACCAAATTGTTTATTAATAAAAGTGTACAAAATAAGAACTGTGAGAAACAGAAGAAATGAATAGAAACACAATTACAATGGACACTTCCACATAGAAGAGGTAGAACTAAGAGAAATAAAAACTTCTTTCAATCCTGAGATTTGAACCCAGCTCCTTGTACATGCTTGGTAAGTGCTCTACCACTAATCTATCTTCCCAGCCTATCTTCCTATCTTATGTATTTATTTTCTGTTTCTTTAATTTCTTCCATTGTTTTATTATTTTGTTTGTTCTACTTTTTGTTTTAGGAATAATTTACTATATTACAATTTTTGAGATAGATGCTTAAGTAACTGTTTTTAGTTTTTGTTCTTTTTTAATATATGAATTTAGGCTCTGAATTATTAATGAAGCATGGATTTGATTGAACCTCTTCCTTCTTCTTTCTTTCTCTCATCTTTCCTTCGTTTCTTTATACTTCCTTCCTTCCTATCTGTCTTTCTTCTCTCTCTTTCTTTTCATCTACAAAAGTCTCATGCCTAACTTACTTTTGAAGAACTATTTTGTTGGTATTTGTAAAATTCTTAATTGGCATTTTTCTCTTTTAGTATTTTGAACATAATGTAAAGGTAAAATTTCTAAGCTGACTCTAAGCTGCAAGAGTCTGAGTTAAAGTGTAAAAGATTGGGGATTGTAAGGTTTCTAAATTGAAAGGCTTGGGCTAAAAATAATAATAATAGGCCAGGTATTGTTAAAATTCCTCTGCTACCCCCAGAACCTGTAATCTCTGTAGCTGTTAGAACAATACCTGAACTGCCCAGTAAATATTTCCATTGATTCCCTGGTTGTTTATTAGCTAAGGGCTCCAAATAGCTCAGATGTAAGCATCCAGGCCACAAAACCAATCAGTTTAAATGTGTACCCCGCTCAGGGGTGACCAATCATCTCTACCCAGACTGTTCCCGCCAATAGATGTACTAATCATGGCTCAGGGTTGTTGTTCAATTTTCCAGTGCCTCAAGATGATTTGTTCTGATGTATGCAAAGCTCCATATCCTCTCCAAAAAGTGTACTTAAGCTCTGCTTGACCTCTGTTCTGGGCTCTGGGCTGCTCTCCCTTCCTGAGTGGGCCTTGAGCCCCAGCATGCTGGTTCAATAAAACTTCCCCTTGCAATTGCATGAAGCTGGTTTCTTGTGTGGTCTCTCCCTCCGACGCTCCGCCGGACCCTTACAATAATAGCTCACTTCCTTCTGGTATGAAAGTTTTCTGCCAAGAAATCTGTTGATATTCTTAAATACCATAAAATTTTATATATCTCATTTTCATCATCAATAAAATGAAATATTTTCTAACTTCCTTGTGACTTTTTCTTTGACCTATGGGTAATTTAGGTGTATTTCTTTATTTTCATGTTTTTGGATATTTTGCAGCTTTTTTTCTATCATCAATTTCTTGTTTACTTGCCCATAAACACTTCCTTAAATCAACATGGGTTTCATTTGTACATATTATGAGATATACTTGAAATAATATATGTGTTTTCTATACATGTTAGATCAATGCCCCATAGGTTAGTCATCTTTTTTCAAGTATTTTATATCATTATTGATTTTTATTTGCTTTGTCCATCAACTATTAAAAATTTGTATGTAATGTCACTTGAGTTGTGAATTTGCTTATTATTCTTTCAATTTTATTTATGCATCTATACTTCCAGCTTACCTATTTATGACATATAAATTCACGGTAAATTTAGAATGTTAGTATCTTCAGATGTCCGTCTTATTTTTAACAATGCTTCTTGCCTCAAACTCTCATTTTTTTTTCTGAAATTAACAGAGGTATAGCAACTTCCTTTGGATTAGGATTTACATGTTATAGCTTTGACCATTTTTTTTCTTCTATTTTTTTTGTCCAGCATTTTTTAAACTGGAGAGTATTTCAGAGACTTCAGTTTTTTATGTAAGGCTATTTTTCTGTAGTCTTCTTGTCTCTTCCTCCATTCTTTTTTAAAAAATATTTTTAGTTGAGGATGAATGCAATACCTTTATTTATTTATCTTTATGTGGTGCTGAGCATCAAACCCAGTACCTCACACGTGCTTGGTGAATGCTGCACCACTAAGTCATAACCCCAGTCACTCTCTTCCTGCATTCTATTTTCTCTGAGCTTAATTTTGGAAAATTTCTTCTCATCGTTTTTTTTAGTCAGCTAATTCTTTCTTTAATTATGTCCAATCTGCTGTTCAAAGCATCAGTTAACTTCTTAATTATAATGATGACTCTTTTGCATTCTATAATTTTTATTTTAGAACTAAAGTTATAGTTTTTGTTTACAGGTTTACTTCTCTTTCAAATTTCTCAATCTTGTTCTTTCTTTCTTTGAATATATTAATGTATTAGGCATCATTATTTTAAAGCCTGTGTTTCACAAGTCTATTATCTTGATCATCTATACATCAACTTCTATTGTCTACTGTTAATCTTGTTTTTGATTATGTTGTCCTTTGTTTTTTTCCCATCCTCTCAAATACTTGTTGACTGAATGACAGACATTATATAAGGAAAATACTTTATAAATATTTCCATGCCTATTTGATGTCATCTGCTTCCAGAGAATATTAACATCCACCTCCAGATGTGACTAGGGACATTAGCAATCACCTAACTCTGGTTGCAACGATTGAAATTATTTGAAGTCAGGCTTTCAATAACTGGGCTATTCTTTTCCCAGGGATTTCAAAGAAGAGAACATTATTTAATTAGACTCAATCATGTCCAATTTTTGTCTCCCTAAACTTGTGTGGGTAGGAAAGCTACCACTCAGCTTCTCGGAATTTTTTTCTGAATGGGCAGATGCCACCTGCAGAAAAAAAACTGCCTGGATGCCCTTGTTTTCTTCTCCCAAATCTTTGTTTTGCAATTTTTCATTGTATGGCAAACAGACTGAAAAGGTTTTGTGACTTTAGTAGCTGTTGTCAGTGGTGGTGGTTTTTTTTTTTTTTTTTTTTTTTTTTTTTTTTTTTTTAACCTCATAGTTAGTTTTGGAAGCAAAGAACCTGGGCAGGAACAACAGTATCATAAAGGTAAAGGGTTGGTTCCATTTCTGTTTTCCTCTCTTATCCCTAGACATCAGAGTAGAAACTCTAGGACAGATTCCATTCTATACCCACTTTCACTTTCAGTTCCATAGACATTATTGTCTTGCTCTCACTCTCCAAATGCCCTAGGTATCACTTGCTTGTGTACCTCTTCAAAATATCAAGACCCTATCCTTACAGAGTTGAAATTATGGATTCGTGTTCAACAATGGATGCAACCTTGGATGGTATTGAAATGTTGGGCCTGAGGAAATACTTTACTGTTATGATTTCTGGCTTCATGCAGAGGACAATGAGATGAGTTCACCCAAGCCCTGATTTGAAGTGTGATGAACTTTCAGATTGTTATTCATCCTCAAGATACAAAAGGCAGTTTTTAATCTTTCTTACCATCAATTTTCCTTTCACCTCAGATAATCCTCTTTGAAATGATGATGAGTGGATCCTGCATCCAATCTTCAGATAAGCCCAAGTTGTGACACTGTATTAACACATTTCTTGGATTGTTGGAGTTTGTCTCTAAGTATTTTATCCAGGAAATTCATTACTTTACGGCTAATGATACCACAGTACTGCCTGCAATAGGAAAAATGTTAAGATAACTTTAAAAAGTCAAAGGGAAATTGTTATGTTACTTCATAGTATAGTCACATGATGCCTATTTTAAGGCTACAGTTTTCAAAAATTTTAATGACGATTTATCAAGAACAATGCTTAATCCTTAGCAGGTTCTTATTCTTTGATCAAATATGCCAATAGGCAGATATGATTAAAACAAAAACATATTTAATTTTTTTTCCTTATACTCGTTTAGGAGGAAGAAAATTTCTTTAGCCTAGAGGAGAGTGAGGATGATGCTTTTTTCCACATCCGAGAGTATTGCTTTTGTTGATGGGCAAATGCTAGTCTCCATGTGTGCCACATGTATATGTTTAGGAGGAAATGAATAGGGGAGAGGGCAATGATCAATACTACCTTGAAGCTGTCAGTCTCCAGGGTAATCTGTTGAGTCACATCGAACTGGAGATGGAACACAAATTTGGTTCAGACACTTGTGATAGCAAAGTTCAACATAAAGTCCTCTGTTTGGTTCAAACACTTGTGATAGCAAAGTTCAACACAAAGTCCACTTGGGATAGCAAAGTTCAACACAAAGTAACTTAACCAAATATCAATGGTACTGTTGGAAACCAATCACATTCTTAAACTCAAAACATAGCATTTGGCCTAAATTCAAACCAGTTTTCTATTTAAAAAATTCTCACCATATTAAACATAATCAAATGTTTGTTTATTTGTTTTTAATACGAAATGACACTATAGAACTGCAATACTGGTTCTACAGTGTTGTTTTTCTTTTTTTTTTAAAGAAAAAAAACTATGTGAGTAAAAAGAAAGAAAGAAAGAAAGAAAGCACTGTTAGCCATTGATTAATACAAGATACTAACTCCTTAGTCCCAAAATTACTTGTAAACAAATATCATTGGTGAGGCATTTTGGGGAAGAAGGATAGAAACAATTCATAACTGTAATTCCATGAATGAGAATTCTAAATCTTATGGGGCTATTTTTTTTAAATATTCTTTATGGCCAGTTTTTTTCCCCTCAAATACTGTATTTTTTCTTTGGCCTTTTTTCCCCCAAAGTATAGTAGTATAAAATATAAACAAGCTCTTATAAGTACATAATTCAAATATTATATAGTTCTCTACATACTGATAAATCATCAAATCCTGAATAATTTGATAATATACAAAGTATCAAAAGAACTAAAAACTAACTTCTATCAAAAAAAACTAAAACTAACTTCTTTAAACATAAGATTCAAATATTCAATGTAAAGAACAGCATTTGATCATACTGACTCCTCTACATCTGCCTGTTTATATACTTATGACACTATTGCCAGAAATTCATGTTTTTGTCTATTTCAAGCCAGATTTAAAACTTCAAAAAAAGTAATTTAGACAAAATAGATAGTCAAAAGGTTATTTCTTCCCTGCCTCTCTAATCCTAATGACTATGAAGACGATTTATGATATGACTTCAAACACTGGATTTTGACAACAAATGCTAAGTTCAATTTCTATAGTTTCTTTTAGTGTGGCAGAATCTAACATCAGTACTCTAAACTACTATGTAAATTCTTACCAAATCAGCAAGAGTAACCATTTTCATATCAGGCAATAGGCTTAAAAGACAAAAGGTATTAATAGGTATAGAGGTGTCATAGTTCATTTTCTGTCACTTGGGATCCTCCTTTCTGTCACTTGGGCTCCTGTGCTGCTGGAATTATAGGTGTGTGCCACTGTGCCCAGCTACATTAATTCCTTCTAAAGCCAACACCTGCAGAAACCTAGTAACCTCTTACTAGGCCCCACCTCTTAAAGGTTCTACCACCTCAACTTTACCACACCAAGGACCAAGCTTTCAGCGCATGAGCCTTTACAGCACAGTGCAACCCATATCCAAACTATAGGAAAAGGATTGCTAATAATGATGGAAACTAGTGAGAAAAATACAAGAGTTTTAGACTTGTATGTTCCTAAAAATTTATGCTTAAGATATATAATGCAAATATTTGCATACTATATGTATAAATAGACAAATAGAAACACTTTGTGCTTGAGAAAAGCTTGTTCTATTTTCAAATATGGAGATATGACTTATATACCATAAAATATATGAATACATTTACATTTGTGAATTATAAACTCTATTAAATTTAATATTGTGAATTTAATTGTGAATTTAACTCTATTAAAGCTTATTATTTGGTAATTTTTAGTACAGCATGTTCACAAAGTTTTACAACCATCATTACTATCTCATTCCAGAATATTTTTATCACTCCAAAAGAAACCCATAATTCTTTAGCAGTCACTTTTTATCCCCTTTTTTCCCCTCAGCCCTGGCAACCACTAGTCTACTTAGTATCTCTATGGAGTTGCTATTCTAAACCTTTTGTGTACACAAAACTATGTAAGATATGGCTCTTTGGATCTGGCTTCTTGCATGTAGAATAATGTTTTCAAGGTTTATCAGTGTTGTAGCATGCATCAGCACTTCATCCCTTTTTTTAGCTGAATAATATTCCATTGTATGGATATATATTTTGTTTATGCACTCATTGGTTATGGATATTTCAGTTGTTTTACTTTTTGGCTATTATGAATGATGCTACCATGAACATTAATGCACAAGTTTTTGTGTGGACATGTTTTCAATTTTTAAAAAACAATTTCTAATTAATCTATTTAAATTTATTAACATTGCAAAAATATGATGTAAGACAAATTGGAACACAAGTTAATGTATTCTGAACAGGACAAAGGAAAATAAAATGTTACATCTCCTTAGAAAATCAAGACCAACTCATATATTTCTTATAGAGACCACATTAATATCTTATACATATGGACATCAGAGTTGAATTTCTCATGTTTTCTGTTCTCTTGAGCATATACCTAGAAGAAGAATTGCTGGGTCATATGGCAACTCTATGTTTAACTTTCTGAGGGACGAATCACACTATTTCCAATGTGGCTACACCACTTTCTCTTCCCACCAACAAGGCATGAGTGTTCCAATCCTACATTCTCATTTTTAATCTCTCTTTCTATCTCTCTCGTAGCACTGTGGATCAAATCCAGGGCCTTATTATCCCTGAGCTACATCTGCAGTCCTAACCTCTGTTTTTTATTATAACCATTTCAGTGAATGTGAAATGCTATCTCTATGTGGTTTTTGATTTTTATTCTCCTGAAAAATGTGTTCTCTTGAATACTAAATCTAAAAATATAGTGATGGAGTAATGTAATTGGATTTTAGGTTACCAAAAATCATCCTAAGATTTCATGTGCATGTCAGCTTTCATTTCCACAAAAGAATGGAAGTGAAGGGTAGTTTTTCATCTCAAGGCATATAAATGTATTTTCTTCTCCAGACGGTTCAAGCAAATAAACCATTAGTAGCTTCTCAGTCCTTCATGTTGTTATTATTATCTGAAAAGTATGGTATTAGACTTTCTTTTTCTGAAGCTTTTTAAAAATATGTATTAGTTTTCCTTCAATATTTAAGAACATCTTAGAAAAATTTGAAGGGACAGGAGAATTTCAAAATATCTTATATGTCATAGAATTTTTTTAAGTGAAAGTGTAATGCTGGGATGAAACTGCTTTCAAATATAAAATGAAAAGTACCAAGTATAGCATTCTATACTTGTAATTAGTATACCATTTTATGGCTTTAGCCATTGTTATTCTTCACCAATGCAAATTGTTTTAAATTAAATTGTTTGATTATTCTAATTTGTTATATATGAA